GATAGGAGGAGGAGGAGGAGGGGGGGGATGTACAGCTTTCCTGCTCGGTTGCCGGCTTTGGGGAGGTTAGGGGTGGTCGTTGGTCTGGATGTATGGAATTGGGGCGGTGCGGGATACACGCGCGCGGCGGTGGAGAAGTGGCGCGGTGGGTGAGATGCGTTTTGGGGCATCGTGACGATGGTGGCGGCCGTTGCGTGTCGTTGAATGGGGTTTAGAGGAGTGAGAAGGATAAGAATTATATTTGGTACGCGCGGAATGCCTTTGATATTCTCGATGGGGCAATTCCCGAGGTAGTATTCGGCAGAGAGGGTACAGAGGTAATTTCAGCACCAAGCACTTGACAATGCCGGACACAGATGGAAAAGTCTCTCTTGAGGTAGTGCGTGCCTCACGAGATTAGCCCTTCAAGTTTTTGAAAGCGCTCGCGATACGCGCCAGCAGCGAACAAAAGTATATAGGTACGCAGTTCAAACCCCAGTATGGCCTCGTATGACATAGCAGTGTGCGGGGTGTCGCACAGGTGATATATCATCTGCACTCTCACACCACCGGGTCAATTCAGTCCATCTGAGATGCGCCTGATCCCGTAACGCTCTCCCGTAGATCAGAGCCTCACCCCTGGGTTAATGGTCTTAACCGGCCGATTTCGCACCACAGCCTCGTCAACGCGCACGCATTGTACCGCGCCGCGGGGCCGCCTGCTGCGGATCACGATGCAGCACACCCTTCTCGTACGCGGAGCGCTGGAACTGCGTAGGCTGATCCCGGGACCTTGGCTGCTTACGATCACGGATGCCGGGCGAATTGGGCGCGATGTGGAGTGGGACCTGGAGATGCGTTGGGTGATGGTGGGGTGAGAAGGGGTGAGGTTGGACCTTTCCGATTCCTACCGAATGGCCTTTGCCGGGGAAACCGCCATTTGGTCCGCTAGCCTGATGCAATTTTCCTCCAATTCTACACTACTTTCTTTCCAGATCAAGATTGTACTTGCTTTGGGCTTAGAATGGGCTTAGAATGGGCTTAGAATGGGCTCAGAATGGGCTCGGAGCGGGCTCGACTATGTTAGCTAGGGGCTAAAAAACTTGTTTTGTACTTCCAATGATAACAGTTATTGGGTCACTTTCGCCAAGCCCCTTACGGCTTTCGTGGTCTTAAGATACGCTTTCACGTGCTTTCATGCTATCTTGTAGTTGCCGATATACTAGTCTATACCATGCATCTGACCATAATATACCAGCAACTGAGCATGCTCGGCAGATAGGAATATGTCTAAATATTCCCCCTTATCGATTTTAATGTAAGGAGTAACCTTGGGAGGAAATGCAACTATCTGATATGATAAGCTGTACCATTGTTTAACAAACAATCCCTGGAGCTGCCCGACCGGCAATTGCCAAAAACAAAGAACACTGCAATGCACATCGTTCAGGGGCCAATCAAGGACATAACAAACTTTGGAAATCAAAACTTGGAATAAACCCTATCTTCTACAGCTTTAAGTCAATGAATAGCTTCTCGAATAGGTATCCGGCAATTAGAAGCCGATTCTCTAAACTACATAGCTTTGCGGTTCGTCTAGGCTAGTCACAGGGGTCCTAGTCATACGCTACCACCCACTTCTACCCCACGAACCTAAAAAAAAGCCTCCATGAACAGATAGTAGCAAAAAAGATGTAGACCCACTGGGGATCGAACCCAGGACCTTTCGCGCTTGAGAAGCTAATCACGATGATGTGAAGCGAACGTCATACCACTAGACCATGAGTCTTGAACGTTGAGATAGAGGTTGGAAATTTTCATTCAGTTTATATCACGAATGAATTCCGTATTAAAACAGCAATTCCGACGTCGGGACGGAAAATCTTTGTAGCTGCTCTCGCACTCCTCAACAACTCTCTTCTTGAAAATATTACATGTCTTCTGCTGTTAGATGTCCCTTTAGTACCCCAATGAGTATGTCCTGAAAGCTAGGAGTATCCTTCGGTTTGTATGCCTAAAAGCTCTGGTTCCGCTTTCGATTTGTGGCATTTTCTTCAAGTTCACAGCTCAACCAGTCCTTAGTGCATTCTCCCCTCCAAATGCCTTGCCTGCGAGACTTAGTGCAATGGCGAGGTGAGGAGAATGCCATTTTTTTGTATCTATCTGCATGATAGATTTGTAGCGGATGTGAAGGCCTTTCATTTCAAAGGTGGCCTTGGGGCCTCCGATCTACGATACGCTGTTATTAGTAATTCCCGCCGGTTTCACTCTAGCAAGGGCCGTGTGTAGGTTATCAGAATCCTATTCATACATGATTTTCAATGTCTTCCATTGTTCAACATTATTATACACTCATCTTATTTCTCGCGGGTTCCCTGATAGTGAGCTTTATCTATGGCTTCGTTCATGTTCATGTCTATATTACTGCGTAGGTATAATTTCAATCCCGAACATGACAATCATAAATTGAACAAGATGCAATAATGAATTCCTTCCAGCTCACTAATATCTGTTATTTCTCAGACAGACTCGGCTGCATCTTCTGCGTATGGATTTCTTGGTGGCACATCTCTGCGCTGAGCGATGGCCTGGCTGCTCTGGTGCCGAGAAGGTCCTGGTCTGCGTATTCTTCCGGGAAGGTTCGCTCTTCGGCGTTGTGGCGGTTCGCCTTGAGCTAGTTTAGTTAATACAACCGTAAAAATGACTGGCTTCGTGCATGAAAAAATGGCTTAGTTACTTACCAGAATTTGAGTCTATATCAGACCAAGGGCCATCATCTTCGGCGCCTGCATCGTTTAAATCTCCACCAGGGTCAAGAGGCATACCGTTTCTGCCACCGTGCATCATGAATCGTTCGTCATCCTCATGTCCTCCAGGCATAGAATTTCTCACTATTCTTCCACCGGGTACATCACGGCCGCCGAATATTCCGCCCCTTGCACCTCTAGGTTGCGTGTTGCTATCTCTCATTCTGTCTATACCGCCGTAGGCGCCGTACGGAGTTTCGGAAGTGTCAAAACGGTTCGAAACATTCCTACCCATACTAGGCCCTTGCAAGCCATATCCAGAAGGCCTGCCAAAGATCCCGACTCCTCTAGGATCACGTCGAATCAGCGGCCTTATTGCTCCGAAGTGATCACCGTCGTCAGATGCGTTATCATCAAAAGCATCCCCAAGCCCACCTCCTGGATATTGCCTTCCCCGGCCATTCCCACCCTTTTGCATCGCTTGAGATAACTGCTCTAGCCCACCACTGACATGTTCTAGGCCGTTAGTAATACGATCTAGCCGATTATCAACCATTCTTAACCCCTTATTCAACTTCCGATCCAGTTTCTGAACCTCGACAGTCGCCTTCCGACACCCATAATCCCCATCATCTCCATCATCATCACTATCCTCCCCACTCCTACTCCCACCACCACACCCGCTTCCCCTCCGACTCCTCCC